CCCAAACCCCGTACCCTAAACCCTAGGGAAAAAATCCCTAAACCCTAAAGGCCCTAAACCTACATCAGTCTTGACAAGCTTAGCTTTCTCGGGCTGGGGGGGGAGGGGGGCTTATGAGAACAAAGGTCCCTGAGCCCCCCCAAGGCGCGAAAACATGAGTCCCTAGACCTTGGCTTAGACCATGGTTTCAAAGTTTAGGGTTTTGGGTATAGGGTTAGAGTTTAGGGTTTAGAGTATAGGGTTTAGGGTTTTTTGGTTTAGGGTTTAGGGTTTCGTGAAGAGACTTTGTGAAAGGGGATGGACTAAGGATCTGAAGGCCCAGTAAGGGCAGAACAGGGCGTCTGTTTTGCGGACAGGGCGTGTTGAGTAGGATTTCCGGGTTTCAGGATTCAGGGTTTCTGGGTCTGAGTGTGTAGGCTTCCAGCTTGTTTTGAAGGGCTTCCATCAGCCGATGAAGACTCCCAACCCTAAACCCTAAACACTGAGGCTACGTGATCCAGTTCGGGAACAATTCTGGCAGCCCGACTGCGCATTGAAAAAAGCCTTTGGCTCAAGCTGTCAGCTTTCGGCATGCCACTCAGATCTTCACACTCCTGGGGTTTTAGAGTTTAGGGTTCAGGGGGTTTAGGGTTTAGGATTGGGTTCAGGGGGTTTAGTGTTTCAGTTGTTTGGCCAAACTTGTTGGACCAGCAAGCGCAGCAACTCGGCAAACTCACCCTTTAAGCCCTTAGCTAAACATCTTGGGACCGGATCCAAAAAGTCTGGCAGGCAATCGCCGAAGCCCTGCTTCATAACGGTAGCCTGTATAATGATTTCACTATCAATGGATGCTTTTCCAGGAGAGTAATACAGAGCCATATAATATCATATAACATAGCATTTGAAAAGACGTTAGTAGTATTAAGTACCAGTATGTAAGAACGCTGACAGTAAACACAATCCTGACAACAGTAATCAGTCAGTTGAAACCAAGATCCTTTGTAAAGGCTTTTGTGGGAGTGGTTCCCAGACGAGCCCTGCCACCCGAACACTAAACCCATCAATTCAGGGTTCAGTGGTTTGTTTGACTCGCTGGCAGGCACGCAAAACCCAGCTTCAAAAGGGGGATCGGGGCTCAAACTCTGGCTCCAAAGTAGTCCCTTTTTGTGGCTGATATTTAGGATCCTATAAGGTAACCCCAAAAAGGAACTACCTTGGAGCCTCTGGGTAGGGAGCCCTTGCCCCTGCGAGGGTTGCTGCGCCAACTACTTCGCAGTCGGCGCGGCTGGGCGCCCTGCGCTGGAGACCCGGGCGGTGCAGGGGGCACCTATCAGGACTGGGTTTAGGGTTTAGGGCTTATAAGGGCTTAGGGCTTAGGGTTTTGGTTTAGGGTTTGGGCTTAATGCTGAATCCAACGTGTTGAGTACGAGGCTATTGGCACTGCACAGAGGATGATGACAACCGGAATGTAGGTGAAGAGAAGCTTCATTCTAGAATCTGTACACGGCACCGGCACCACTTTCTTGCAATTTCCCCTTGTGCGACGCAACAAAGTGTCCGAGAGCGCTGCGATCCTTTTCGCATGTTGTGAATGCAGCTGTGGGAGGATCGGCAAATCAAGCTGAAGCCTGCAGCGGGCCCGGAAATCAATTTCCTCTGGACCCAGCGACCCGGTGCAATTGTTTTCTTCAAATCTCTGACTCGTCTATCCAAAGTGCATCCTTCTCCAACACGAGAGTTTCTGCAGGTCTACAGTTGCTTTAGATTCCTCAGTTCCAGATCGGACCCTGTGAAAATCTGTGCATCGTGAATGAGCTGGTTGAGTTTGTCACGATATCCCAACACGGGCGGGCACTGGGGTGGCGGTTTTCTTCATTAGACGAGTAGTATGCACAGTGCTGGCGAAAAAGCCATGTTAGATCAGCCACGGCGAAGTTGAGCTTCTCTCGGCACAGGCAGCCCCTAAACCCCTAAACCCTAAACCCTAAACCCCTAAACCCTAAACCCCTAAACCCTAAACCCCTAAACCTTAACCCTGCCCCCGCTCTAACCCAACTCTGAGGTATCGGTGTTCGGCATTCCTGAATGCCATGCTCTCTGGGCAGAAAGGGCTCGCTGTGACCCTGACGCTTGGTCCAAGAATTGATGGAGCTTGTGTTGGAGCTTGTGTAGAATACTCACTTCCCCTTCCCCGCACTGTGAAAGAAACCGCGAAGTGTGCTAATGCTGCTTATTATTAGTCAGCTGAAATTCAATATTAGCCCCTGCCTCCAATTACCACCCCCCCCAATATCAAAGACTTTGGGGAAGGGTTGCACCCAAAGACCGGTGTTAGACTCAGTAGAACTACAGCTTATTCGGCTGACCCACAAGGGGTCACTTAAGGGCAGAGGCCAGATAGGGAGGCAGCACAGCATTCGAAACTCTTCGATTTCAAGAAAAGTGTGTGTGCTCGAACTGGTGAGCCGGGATCCTCTCACACATTTTCCTCGCAGAAACTGCAGCCAGTCGGGAACGTATAGGACTGCAGGACCGTAGTATCGTGCAAATATAGTTGTTGGTGATTCTTCCGGGGGAAGTTTAATACTGAGAGGAAGAGGTGAGTATTTCCTGAGATCTTTGGTCCGAAACCTAACGGAAGCATGGAGGCAACGAGGCGAAAACTGGAGTTGTTGCATCCTTTAAGACGCTCCCCCTCGCATGCGAAGCGATGACCGCGGAAGCTAACACAGCAAAGTAGAGCCATCAAACTTGAGAAAGGATGAATTTCGGCCAGAAGCGATGTTTTTTTTCATGCTCCTGATCCATTAGCCCTGGGGGGGGCGGGGACATAAGGCCCATACCCCGAAGACTGTCGACTCTCTGGAATGGGCAAGCAAATCGATGCGAATCTGAGGAATGAGGAGAAAACGCTCAAGCTCAAGGCGCAGTTCAAAAGATGCGTGATACGGTCTCGACTGACCTGGTTGCCTGAAACAGGATAGGCAACATTCCATGTTTGGTTGAAAGCATCTGAGGACGTCTAGGATACTGCTCGATTGCATGGCAGCCATGCAGGCCCAAGCTGGAAGGCAGCTTGGGGCAGACACGTCATCGCCGCTTTGGCCATGGAGGCCCTGCCCTCCATGTCGGCCGACCCCACCTTGATGTCCGCCGAGGAGCTACGCGCCGAGATCGAGGCCACCCGGCGTCGTGCGCAAGCCGAGGAGGCCAGGTTCGATCAGATCCTGGTCGAGAATGAGCAGGCCAAGGAGCGCCAAAGGCTGCGGGAAGAGCTGCGCGAGGCGAGGGACAGGCTGCAGTACACCTGGGAACGGAACGATAGTGCAATGGCTGATCGACGAGCCATCGACGATGATGAATTGCGCGTGGCACCGCAGTATCAACCTGTCTGCCCCTTCAAAAAGCCACCTGTGATGCAAGCAAACGGTGGTGGAATCACGAATTTCGGTGACATGGTGGCTAAGGGCACCTATACATGGAGGATCGAAGGATTCTCTTGGGTGCCATGTGCAGTTGAGCAGATTAGGCTTGAAGGTTTCACTCCTCCTTTTGTCACCTTTGTGCACTCACATCCAGATTTTAACTTTGGCAACCAAGAATTCCAGTTTCGCTACAGCCCATGGGCGCATTACCTTTGTGACCAACACCATGGGTCTCTCGCCATAGTGCCGAGAACGCGGGATGGTGTCATTGCTCTTCGCTATCGCATTTTCGTGAAGGCCCAGAGCGGGGAATTCGTGCAGTGGGGCCAGACGCGCGATGTTGTCCATGACGGCGACAGTGGCAGGACCTGTGCTTACGGTCCTGACGTGCATTGGCCAGATGATCCTCCCGCTTCTTTGGGCATCTTCGGGCTCAGCCATGAGGAGCTTCTGGAGTCGCAGTGGGTGGAACACGACACTTTGACGGTGAAGTTTGAGCTGGAGGTCCGCCCGCCGAGAAATGTCATCCAGCAGCCTCTGAGCGCAAATGAGATTCCCGAAGCGACGATCCACCAGGACACCCAGGCACTCTTGGAGGAAGGCATCTGCAGCGATGTTCGGTTCATGGTGCAGGACGAAGTGATCCAGGCTCACTCGCAGGTTCTCTGTGCACGGTCCGAGGTTTTCAGGAGTCAGCTGACGGCAGGCATGCAGGAGAGCATCTCGAAAGTCATCAAGATTGAGGACTGCGAGGTCAGCACCTTCAAGGCCTTCCTGCAGTTCGTCTACACCGATCGGCTGCCGAACCTCGAAGAGCTCCTTTCCATGCAAGCCTCAAGCGAATCAAGGAATGAGAACGGTGCTCCGCAGCTGTCACAGATCCAGGCGCTGTTGGCCGTAAGCCACAAATACCAAGTGAGACGGCTGCAGCTCTGGTGTGAGGCGAAGCTTTCCGAGCAAATAGACGCCGTGCAGGTTTGCGGCATGCTATGTCAAGCACACCTCTTCCAGGCGAAGCAGCTGGAAGAAGCTTGCCTCTGCTTCATCAGGGACCACGCAGACCAAGTCTTCACATTACCTGCCTACCTTGAGCTGATCACGAAGTGGCCCGAAATCGCACTGAAGATCAATCTCTTCTCTGCGGGCGTGTCGGAAGCCGAGGCGCTGGCCGCGATAGATGCTTTGGAAAAGCACCAAGGCCAGCAATCGGAGCAGGCGGGTGAGTGAGGACAGTAGCCGCTAGCCGCCGAATGGTCGATTCCACCGGATAAGTGCTGTAAGACGCAGTGCAATCCGACAGGTGTTCCTGGCAGACATCAAAGACAAGAGCTGGTCTTTTGGGGTTTGCGGGCTTAGGTTTGGGCTTTAGGGTGTAGGTGCTTTGATATTCAGAATCGGTAGTTGAAGTATGTTGCAGAATAGATATATACTCGTAGGAGCGACAAGGGGGTACACGCTCAGATTATTTAGACCTCTACATATCAATCAGGTTCGTTTGACCTCCTAGAGCTGCTTCGTCATGGAGTGTTCAGATTTATCTCATCTAAATGCTTATTTACTTATATATCTATGTGTACACATGAACATGTAGGACCGGCAACTTAGAATCCCTCAGCCCCGAAACCGCCAAAGCCGCTGCTTTGCTGGGGCCAGGTTTTGAGCAGCGCTTTCTACGATTCTAGGAAACGTGTAAGACTTTCATGAAACCTCTCACAAGATCTGAGCCCAACCCTGATGCGCTGAACCTTGACGGATGAACGAGGTTTGAAAGTTACACCTTCCAATCTTTTTGGGCTCAACATCGGATCTCCACGGATATTGACAAGGTCTACTCTCAGCATGCCAGACCCGGAAACAGGGTCCCTTGCGGCGCAACACTGCGTGTACACCACTCGCACTGGTAGGGCTGCAAACACTCAGCCCGCAGGACGGCTGCTCAGAATTGCTGTCTCTCTGCAGAGCCCTCATTATCCGACTAAGCTTGTTGTCTTCCGTTCTATGCTGTCGATCTTGTGAAGATCACTGCCAGCCTTCCTTACCTGGCAGTTCATGGCGTGACTCGAGCCCACCGCAAGCAGCAGCATTCTCCGGAGACTATCATCGCTGAGAGGGCCTAAGGAGAGAGTCTAGGCTGCGCTGTTCGCGACGTGACTCTCATGGAGTGATGACCTGGGTTTGGTCGAAGACAAAGATCAGACTGCCAGGAATATCCCGGAGTTGGGGAGCATCAGTGGTGTGAGTAAGCTTGAGCACGAGAAGCTGCCGAGTCGCAAAATCTTTTGAAAGCCCAAACCTGAAGCCCGGACACCGCAACAGCCATAAAACCCGAAACCCTTCATGAACCACACCACCGAGCCTCTGAAGCCTTCCCTAAACCTTTGTCAACCCCCTTTTCTTAAGACCTCAACCCAAAACCCTATATACCCCTACCCCCCCAAACCCTCTCTGGGAGAAGCGCCTGCCCGAAGCCGTGAAGCGTCAATTGGGTAGTTACCGGGTCGTTCTTTAAATTCAGGGCCCTTAAAAAAGTCCCCCCACAAAATTACGGCACCCTCATAAGAAGGATCCTGACATCCTTAGAAGGGACCCTAATTTAGGCACTACCCACATCGGCAGGCCTGCTCGGTGCCGAAAGCTCAGCGCACCGAGCCGCCGCCACGTCGCTGCCACAACCACTTCGAAGGCTCAACCGGGCTTCTTGGGGGTTTCCGAAAATAGGGGACCCTACTGTAGTACCCTAAATAGTCGGATCCTTATTATACGGACCCCAAAATAACTCCCTCTTGGGTTTAGTGCGTTTAGGGCTTGGTTCGGTTTAGTAAGGGTTTAGGGTTTTTTGGGGGCTTTAGGGGTTTAGGGTTTGGGGCTTAGTTTGGTTTAAGGAGTTGTAGTGTGTTCCAAGTCTCAACTTCTAGGGATCTGGGTTCTGTTTATACAAGTTCGCTTCATTCTGAAAGTCTGCACTTCTGTACCAACAGTAAGTTAAATGGCAATTCGATTTATTTAGGGGCTTATTAGAGCCTCTCTGGGGTGTATCAGTGCTTATCTTGATAAAGGTCGAGGGTTTTTCCGGCTCGGGGTTCGGAGTCAGGGTGTACTCTGGAATGTATGCAGTGGTGTGTACTGGGTCTAGGGTTTGGGATTCCGGGCACCGGGCTTGTCGCTGTTATCTCGGCAAGTAGGATTCAACATCTGCGGTTCAGTCTTATATATATATATATTATATATATATATATACAGAGAGAGAGAGAGAGAGAGAGAGAGAGAGCGAGAGAGCCTGAAAACAGAGTAGTACACTCCCTCACAGGCCCTATAAACCCTAAACTCCTAAACCTTAAACCCCCCAAAAAAACTTTTAAACACTGTAGAAGATAACATAGCCCCACCGAGGTTTGGTTCCAACTCTTAGGGCCTCCATATTTCCTGCATGCGTCGGGGGGGGGGGGGAGGGGGTGTTCGAAAGAGGATTCATGCTTAGAGCTCCAGGGTTTCGTTGCAGTTGAGGAAAAGGCCACCAAGCAGAGAAGAGAGGAATGTAGACAGATGGGTAAGCATCTTCCTTTTTAAACGGGGAGGCGTTGTGTTTCAAATCAGGGGTCTGCAATAACCAAGGGCTTAGGTTCATTGGAATACGGTTTTTTGGTGGTATACTGACGAGAAACAGTCTCTGTTCTACTGGTAATCTAGGCCTCTGTATTGTGAGGCCGTGGGCTGAAAAGGTTTTTGTGATTTCGGGCAAAGGAATGTTTAAGGGTGTACGTTTAGGGTCTTTTTTTTCGCAATCTGAGAGTTATAGCCAGTTATAGCCCTTTCAAGGTGTAGGCAAGGGGCTCAGTCATGGTGGGGGGGCGCCATGTATGTAGACGTTTGGCGGCTTAGGGTGTACAGGCGCTTGTGAGCTTCCCGGATTTGAGGTTGGGGCCTTATCCCGGTTTTACATCGCACGCACTGGACTTTCAGGCGTTGACGTTGGGAATCTCACGCCCAGGGAGGGCCCGTTCCGGGAGAAGCTTCTGTTCATCCAGAAGCTGCTGCTGCTCGTGAGCACGATGTCGACGAGCTGTTCCGATGGTCTTACGAACGTCCGGTGCAGTCCTACACCGAGTGAGTGGCAAGTTTCGCTGGGTGCAGGTATGACCTCACCCAGCCGAGCCAGTCACAACCTTGGCATGCGGGACGAGCCTGATGTTTATATAGTTGGCATGAAGAGCTGCACACGTAGCGGAGGCCGTTTAAAGGCGTTGACCCGAAGCACCAACCATCCCATCGTTTTCTGTGAAGCCCACTGAAGAGAGCGATTCAAGTTCTGCTGTTGAATGGGGTCGCAGAGTTGGCAACATCCCTGACCAACATCCCTACAAAGGTAGGTTCTTTAGGGTCCAGGTAGGGTTTAGGGTTGAGGGTTTAGCAGATGAATTCGTCAAACCTGCAGCTTGACCCTAGAACACATCGAAACCCTAAAGACAGCGGACTGTGTGGATGCTCTCGAGGTGGTGGTGTTCTTTGCACCAAGCGCGGCCTCTGCCCACGCCCCAGCTTGGTTGAGGGTGAAGCTACGATTTTGCTAAATTGCAGAGCCCATTCAGAAATCCTCTATAACTATATAGCCTTCCGAGCACTAAAGCCGGAGCAAAGCTAAACCGTTGTGGCCCGAACCCGCCCTCTTCCCGGCGAGATGAGAACCAAGCAGCTGAAGCTGAACAATGAGTTGAAGTTGGGATCTGGGCTTCAGTGAAAGGCTTAAAGCCCTATAAAGACCCTAAACGGCCCTTAACCCTAAACCCTACCTCCACTTGAAGGCCACGGGCTCATACCACTGGTTTTCAGGCTCCCTGTGTCATGTAGGTGTAGGGCTCTAGGCTCTAAGGTTGTCGGTTTTGGGACCGTAGATTCAAAGCCTGGGTTACTGTTTCCCGGGCTCTCTCCGCCCTCAGTATACGCTTCGAGGCTCAGGAGGTTTTGAGGGTATTTCGGTCTGGTTGTCATTTCTGGGTGACATTTTTTGTGAAGCTCTTGGTTGAAAATCCGCCTCACAGCTTCCATTCCCAGCTTCCTGTGCTGATGTGACAGACTCATGTTCAGAGGTTCCGGCTGCATGCTTGTGAAGGGTCAGAACTACCCATAGGCCCCTAAGTAGTTCCTTTTTATGGTTTATATTTAGAATCCTATAAGGTATGGTCAGAAACTAGAGTCAGAGTTGCTCATGCAGCCGAGTTCGGCTGCTCAACACTCACTTCGCTGACACATGATCCTTATTATTAGGACCCCACAATAAGGTACCCTAATATAGTACCCTAAATAGTAGGATGAGAGTGAGTGCTGAAATAGTAGGATCCTTATTATAAGGACCCCAAAATAAGGTACGCCCTGAGCCGTCCCGCCAAAGCTCGGGTTCTTTAGCGCGACATTCTGGTCCTTCAAGCTCTTATGCAGAAGCCCAAGCACTAGACCCTAAAACCCGGACACCTGGAAACCGTGACCTGACTTTGACCCCTAAACCCTAAACCCCTAAACCCACGAAATTGACATCTTGCTTCAATCGGCTTCGACCCTCCCAATGCGAACGGCGATGTGAGGCGAGTCCTTGGTTGCGCATTTCCTCCACTTCGGCCGCGATCCCTTTGGTGCAGTTCCCCTCACGCGGCTGGGCGGGGAGATTTGAGTAAGCGTCCCGAGCTGTGGAAGTAGAGCTGAGCTGCGAGGGGTGGATACTTGTATCAGCACTGACGCCATCGAAGCTGGGAGTGTTGTTGGCACTGCGTGTCTTTTCCGTGCTGTTTTGCTTCCTTCCCTCCCCCGAAATTAGAAGATTCCTGTTGAAATCCAACCCTCAGTCAGATCGAGTTCAGGGTAGCTTGTTCGAAGACTCTCCTTCCAGGAGTTCGAAGTGCTGTGTTTCTACGATCTTCGATTGGCGCTCCAAGTGTCGTTTCGTTCCAGCGGTGTAGACAATGTAGACTTGTAGGGAAGTCAAGAAGCAGTTCACAGCATAGCCCGCAAACCCCTGAACCCTAACCACGGTAGCAGGACCCCAGGCTATCCTGTGTCCCTAAACCCTAAGCCCTAATCCCTAAACCCTGAACCCACTCTCTCTATATACCCCATTGCGGGGAGTGCCAGGCTGACTCGGGTTACAGGACATTGAAGTCTGAAGGCCCACGTCTTCAGAGGTTGAGTGCAGCAGTCTCATACCTGAAATAAGATTCTCGCCGTCGAGTTCCTCTTTA